TTTATTCTTTGTCAGGGTTTCCTTCATAAATGTGTGCTTTAACCAAGTTGTTAAAATGCTCATTTAGCTGAAGTTTGGCAATCTAATTCTTTCCCTGACAAGATGTTTTCAATATCCTTTACCTAGTCAACAAAATTTGATTAAAATCAGCATGGATGTTTCTTTCCCCAAACCGCTCTCTCTCCTTCTTAATTAAGAGTGTCCAAGAATAGCCTGTTTGGGTACTTTCTGTGCATTCCTCTGTCTAGGAAAGCAGCATTTGGTATAAGGGTGAAATGCCAAACTGTCCACAGTATGGACTGAGAGTTATGATTTGGTTGTTGGACTGTAAAGCATATCTTACTACGTTGAAGATGCAAAAATAAAATTAAAGCCAGGAATAATGTATTGGTGAGAAGTTGTTCTGCTCAATAGTAGGACCTCAGGAGATTATGCAGTGTTAAAGGCTATTGAAAACTTTAAGATCTAACTTTGACTAGCTTTAATCAGTAGAGATGTCATCAGTAGAAATGACAGAGCCTGGGACTTCTGGCACTTGATCTAACAGGATACCTCTCAGGATTAGCAGGGCACTTGCATTCTCTGAGAGCCAAATACCAGAAGTAAACACGCATAGGTCAAAGTTGTCTTCCTACTATGCAGACTCTGCAGGAGGATGATCACATTATAAGGGCATTAGGCAAAAATTCAGGAATGAGATTCCATGCCCTTCCAAATATTTTTAGTCAGAAATGGTTAAAGACTTTGTTTATACCTCAGTTTTCCACCTGTAAAAGCTGGCTTCTCTTATGTGTTTGTCACACATACTCTCTACTGGGGGCCTTCTGGTGCTCCCACAGTACAAGTATATTGGCATATGTATGCATTCCTGTCCTTTTTACATGCCACCGTGTACAAAGGCTGAACATGAAATCTGTCTGAGACACACCAATTTTTATGCACCCAGCAGGACCACCTGAAATACTGACCCTAACCTTTGGGCTCTTGCAGATACCCCGTGTAGATTGTGAGTTGGGAATTTGGCTTCTTAGGAAAGTGTACAAGTAAATGCAAGTTCTGTTTAGCTTTAAAGAATGTATTATCTTCTTTGTAGTTGTAAATCTTTCTATAAATGTCAAAACAGTCAATGATTTTAGTGTTTAAAAACACGATCTTGTGTGGTGGTGGCCGCCTTGTGGCACTGACTGTCCATGTCTGCTCACAGGTTTGCTAGGCTGCTTCCAAGCTCTCTTCTCCCCAGTAGGTTGAGTCCAAGACAATTTGAGGTCCAAGATACTTCCTGTGAACTATAGCGTGCAAATTGCATTGGCAGTTACAGTGGTACTTACCTGCTGATAGGGCCTTAGCATAAAGAAAAGCTCATGCAGCGCATAAGTCAGTGTGCACTGTGTGTGTGAAACCGTAATGTCTTCCGTCATGCTGCGATGTGGAAGAAAAATTCATGCGGTAGCCCCATTTTCTGGCATTTAGATTTTATGTAGGCGGGCGGATGTGTAGAGTTGGGTCTGGGTTCAGCAACTGAAAAAGATGAAGTGTTTGTGGTGTTATAAATCATTGTCATTGGAGCTGTGAGAGCTGGTTACTTTAGCCTTACCCAACTGCAAAATCCCCACAATAGAGCTGGCCTTCTGCGTGGCAGTAGAGCGAAGGATGAGCACAACTACTGTCAGGTGGCCAGTTCACAGCTTCACTGATGCGAATTGTCTTCTGCCCTTCCCTGGTTATTCTCTACTAATGCAGTCTGTGTTACTTGACGTAGATCGCACCTCCCTTACCACCATATAGCGATTGCCATTTTTCTCAGGTGGTTAGGTTATGTGGCCTTATGTAATGGGTGAGTGTTGGGCTATTATAGAGAGTCTCATGAGTGTGCCATAACATGAAATGAGTTTCGAGATTTTTGATAATATTTAGTCTTCAGCCATGAGGAAGCTGTACTCTCATTTTATGATACCTTTTTCTTTCCCATCCATGGAAAGGTGAAAAATGGCTGTACCTAAGTTTGTTGAAAAACAAGCAGCAGAACATTAGGATTTCTGGACTATTCTGCATTGGAAAAGAAGCTGTTGGAGATACACTCTAATAAAAATAACACATAATGAAGCTATTACAATAATGATTTATACAATCACACTTGCTTGAGCTCTGCAATTTACAATGCATCGTGTTCTTACTGTGTATTGTCTGCATGCACCTTCCAGTGGCATTGTACTGGAATATACAGTACTGTATTTCAGCTACACTTCAGTAACACTGCAACTTCAACACATCCAGTGACACAAAAATCTTCAAGATGGTTGAGCTTAAATGAGGCCCATTTTAGCATAGTGTTCTTACTTTCTAAACACCTGCGAAGAATTTTGATTTCATCAGCAACAACAGAAAAAAAATACTACTTTTGTTATTTTCAAGGATTCTTTTGTTTTGGAGGCTTATTGAGGAACATAGAGGTGATCTTAAATCAGAAAAAGCAATAGATTTTGGAGTCTTAAGACTGTCACTGTGTCCTTAGCTCGTCCTGCTGCACTTGGATATTGAAAAGGACTCAGAACAGGTGTAATATGACATACAATGCTACATGATTTATGCCCCTCTACCTGGAGAATATAGTATGCGATAATAGCTAATAGTCTGATTTTCAGAGATGCTCAGCACCAACCACCTCAGCTGAAATGAAAATGAAAGTGGCAGCTGCTCAGCACAGCTAAAAATGGGGCCATGAACATCAGCCCTAAAACTGCATTCCATCATGTTTACTGTTTAGTGTCAGCATCTCAAAACTTTCTGTAAACAACATCTTTTTAGTTTTATTATTTCTGTTATGGTGGGGCAAGAAAACCCATCATTAAGGATGCACTTTATTTTTCATTTGAGCCTTTTGTTTCCCTCGGTGTCTGTCCATAAGTGAACTATTTTGGAAATTTGAGGGCAATCTGTTTAGTCATTTTTGAAGTAGGCAAGAAGTGGCGTGGGAGAGAGGTTTTCCTAGTTTCTCCTGTTGTTGCTATATTTTTTTTTTTTAAAGCATCATTATGTTGAAAACAAACAGCTGAAGAATAGCAGAATTCAAGGCCCAGTTCATACTGGGTAGACACCTGTATTCGCTCGGACCTTTCAGTGAAACATCATAGATTTATTCCATTTGAAGATTAGTCCTCAGTGCACGGTTCTTTGTGCTGAGTCTGGTGACAAACCTGAGATGACCCAGACTTTTTCTCCCTTACTTACAACCAGCAGAATCTGAAGGTAGGATTGAATTTGGCCTTTCTTACCTTCTCTGCACTTGTGCTGAAAGGCCACTGTGTGTGGCTGTGACTAAGGAGCACTGCCTGATAATTTTCTCTGTTCTTGATGGAGGACCAAAGGTAGAGAGCTGAGCTTGGCTGTTAGAATGGGCAACTAGAATTATTCTAAGGTTATCAGGTGAACAAAAGTAATGCTGAAAGAAGCGTGAGAACTTATAAAGAAACCAAAACTATATGAAAACACTTACATATAGGTGTATACATACATGTACGTATATACGTGTATCTTTTAGTTGTGTGTTGTTCAGTGTTCATCTCCCATTCCTGTTGCTGTATAACAGAAGTAGGTGGGAGTTGGAGCTAGGAGACTGTGTGAGAATGTTATGGAGGAGCGAAATGCAAGATTTGGGATAGGTGTCAATGCAGGGAGGAAAGCAGGCTCTCTAAATTAAATTTGTGAGGGTAACACAGCAGCTAATGCAAATACTGAAAAACCTTTGGTCATTTCTGTGTTAGCACATCAAGTCATGACGCAGAGGGGAAGGTATTTTCAGCAATTCTAGGAATATCTAAAAGTTTTCCACCTTTCTTCAGGCTCATCATGTGGAGAGGAGCTGACTTTTGGGGGTAAAGGGATACGAATGATACAGTATTAATAAAAACCTTATAAACTTAATAAAAACTCTTCACAGTAGTTGTCTGTATAATGTTAGATGTATCATGGCGTGATATTGAGAAGTTTTACTGGGATTTGTTCCGCTTTCCCTGTGCAATTCACTTCTGGCCCTTCCACACTGGTAATGCCAAATTCAAGCCAAGAAAATGACTGTACTCATCTGTAAGACGTATACAAGCTGTCGTTGCTTCAAAACTAGATTACCTTATATAACTGATAATTTCACTTCAGCATTTTCAATGCTTTGAAGGCATATCCTGTGTTAGGGAATATGGTAAATATTGAGGCAAAATTGTTTCATTATGTAAGTCAAATCTGGAAAGGTTTCATGTGCAGCCAGTGTGTAGGTGTATGTGTGTTTGTTAATTTGAGTATATAGCTGCCTACATAATCCCTCATCTTCTAGTCTACATATTTCCCTTGTCAAAAGTAAAATTATATTAAACACTGTTAAATAGTAATACTTTACACTTATTATTATATAGTGTCTTTCATCCAAGCTTCTCATACTACTTTAATTAATGCTTGATAATCTTGGTATGATGGAAAAAATATTATCCCCATTAATAATGGTTAAACAGAATCACAGGGTAAATAAACACTTGTCTGTAGTGGCATTGCTGTTCCTGTTTCAAAGATGTGTTTATTCTGAGTTCATTGTCTTCCTGTAAAATCTCAGTAGACATGAAGCACGTTAGTTTTTATCTCAATATATCTGCTCAAGGTCAATCCTGGAAGTGGTTGCATGTGTATGTGTGTGGGTGACTGTTACTTGCTGTGTTTAGATTAGTAACTATCTGTGCTTTCCCCATCATTCTTTTTGGTTTTGGTTATTTGAGATTCCTCTCTTGAGTTAACAAGCTTGATTGCAAGATGCACTTTTTTGAAGTGAGGACATAGCCAGTTAAGTCAGAAATTGAATCAGTAATTCTTATACTCTTGTCCTCATACTGCTTCTGAATACTCCACTGCCCTTTGCAGGGTGGATACATAGTAGAGAACTGAACCAACCCCTCTCCCCCAAGTTCTGAAATGTCTAAAAGCTATCAAGATAGTATTTGACTTCTTTTCTTTTCCAGCTTAACCCACACTATCCAGAAGGTAGTAATGAAGGAAAAGCTTTGGTAAGTGGAATTTATACATTGCATATAATCTGGGAAATACTGTATCCTTAACCCAATGCAGTCCAACATACGAAAGTCCTTCATAGCTTTCCTTTTACTCATATGTCACAGCTGCTGGGATTGTTTTCCATATCCTGTGTAAGCTAAGGTACAACTTAGAGCTGGCAATACAGAAAGTTTTCCCTCACATAAGGCAAACGATAGGAAACGTACTCAAATTTTGCATCAAATTGGCATTAGTTGGAAGCTGTTCTGCTTGGTGACTGCAGTATGAAATGTATTAATTCTTCTCAAATCAGATGTATTCATGGCAGAATCCATCAGGGTTTAGCAAGAAAACCAAGGACAAGCAAGTCTGGTTACTTACGTGTCAGTACCAATTCAGAGGCTCTGCTAGTGGACAAAAGCTCCCTTGGGGCATGTTTGTCAGTCAAGTGTGGCTCTAAATCTAAGAACATGCTGAGACTCTTTTTATTGCCTGTATTGAATACATGCAAGCAGATATTAAGGCACAGGCTTGGTCTGAGCCCTGCCACGTGTCAGGCAACTCTAGCATGACATCTTCGCAAGGTTCCAAGTTGTCCTTGCTACAGTGTGGATGGGTTGGACGAAGGCCTTATGCCCTTTGCCTAGGAAGTAACAGCCTTTGCCTTGTACAATGTCAAGAGCATGCTAGCTAATTCCAACTAACGAGGCAAGGCCAGACATGTTGTAGTTTATAACGTGTGAAGGAAGTGGAGTTAAAACCTTGGGGGAATCTTATTGTTATTGAGCCAACAAATAGTCCAAAAAAGAATCATTCTTCCCTCAAATTCGTGAGATTGCCTTGAAAACACTGAGATCTTCTTCAAAAAAAATTCAGTTTAATTTCTTTCTGTTTGCCTTCTGGCTTTTGTTCTTCTAGAGGACACGTTTTCAAGTTTTTCTCTGCATGGGGAAAATTTTTTTATTTTTCATTAAATGAAACCCAAGATTCTTACATAATCACATGCCTTCAGGACTGCAATTTTAATAAAAATGGGGACTTTTGTGGGAGTTGGCAACATCAGTTTTACATCTTTCCTGGTATTTTGTATTAATGGTAATATACTGATAACAGCTAAGCTGTCCAGAGAAATGAGAATTCTTTCTCATGAAAATATGGAAGTTCCATCGGTTGTTTCTCTTTTGTATTGGAGTGACACTTGAAGCCCTTGGAGCTTTTGAATGGAAATTGAGATAAGTTCTAGAATACTCCAGTGAGTAGGGTGCTTGCTTGGAAATGCTTGGGTTCATTCTCTTGCTCTGTGAACAGTAGAGCTCATCTCATAGATATGCGTCTGCATTAACATTGTAGTTCACATCGTGACAGCACTTCTGAATCAAATCTCCAGTTTATTCCTGATTTAAGACGCTCCAATTCACTTTGCAGAGCAATCTCAGAGCATGTAAACTTGGATTCTCTTGGATGAAAGTAAAAAGATGCACACACCTCTGGAATGTATCTACTGTGCTCCAACATTTTGTGGGTGCCCAGCCCAGAAAACCAGACTACAGCTAGTCTGAAGTAAGACCTCTGAAAATCTGTATAGGGTAGATTTTAGGTCCTTGTCACCAAGGATCCAATCCTATTTTATCACACTATACTAATTTAGATATAGTATAGGTTTTCCAGTTGTAGCAATTCCAGTTCATCTAAATAGTTAAGTATTCCCTGGACTAGGTAATGAAGAAGGCACAAGAGTAATCTGAACGTGAATGTTAAAGGTGACTTCTCCAACGGTTTGGCTTAATCCTTCTGGGTATTGGTTTCAACCAAAAATCCAGATCAGATAAATCAGCTTAGACAAATACTTCTAATGAGAATTTAATCAAAACTGATTGATGATCAAAACTGATGTCTCTGTGGAAGTTTTAGTTTATGCAGTCAGCACTTCCTTGTGAAAAACGTTTTGTGAAAGAACTCCTTACAACATTTGGTAACACCTCTATGTAAATCCAAGCCTACAGGCACTTTTACGTGGTAGAAATCCATTCGGATCCTTCACTCCTTTATAGTCTTGTTGGAGATAGGATGAGTCAGCAATGGCATTTTAAGCTTTCATTCTGGCCTTGAGCAACTGAGTAGAAAAGCTTCACATCCCTGTGCAGGAATTTCTTTTATGTTACAGTGATGCAGTGTTTTGGATTATCCCTCGGAAGTACATGAATCTTCTGATATTTGGAGTTCTTTTAAGGGCCAGCTATGTCAGTCTTGTGTCTAATATGCATGTAACCTAGAGCACACATGCATTCTTTGCTCTGTGTTTTTCATCTAGTGTTTCTTCTGCTAGGTGACTGCCTAACTGATTCATCTTTTGAAGCAATTAATTTTGAAAATTAATTTTGAAATACTGCCCGTGAAGTAAATCTGCTCTAGAGGGGGAGGTGGAAGTGGACCTACCCCAGCAAAATTTGAAGTCTGAGTAGCAGCGAAATGGGAGATGCATACTTGAATCCTTTCAACTGGAGGACGAAACTGAGCCTGCAGCCTGTGTTTTTCTTTTCTCTGCTAGTCTGTTGGATAAAAGGGTACCAGCTCCTTCTCTGTCATCTGGGTTTTAAAGGCAGCACAGCCATCTGTGCATTTCATGCCAACCCTTAACTCCTAAATGTGCGATAAGGCTCCTTGTGCATGTTCACTGCCTGGTTTACAAGTCCTGATCACAGTTGCTTAGGCAACTGAATTTTAGGAAGCAGCAATGGAGAAGGATTTTCTGTGGTGCAGTAGTGGACATAGACACCTAGGTTCTGCCTGAGTGCATCTTTTTTGCCTTGCCTTAAATGACTTAAAAGTCTGAAACGGTTTTGGCTCTGGAGAGCATAAATATTACTGGAAGTCACTAGGACTTTTCTTCCCAAGCATTAAAGCTATGTTTGGCGTGCGGTTCATTGCTCATTTATGGGCTGCTTCTTGAGAATCCAGCCAAATTGTCTTGTGAAACACTGCTTTTATTTCTGGTAAAATTTGGCCTTACAATGAGTTGTTTAATATTCTTTATACATATTTTTCTCACCTCTAAACTCCAGAAGATTTTTTTTTTTTTTAAATGGGAAGACCTTTCTGTGATTTAAAGGCCTTACCAAAAAAATGCTTCTTCATCTCTTGAAGTCTGGGAGATTGTAGTGTATTGTGCAACAAAACACAGTGCTCTGTGTTACAGCTCCCATTAAAGCCAAAATTGGTGTTATTTTATGCTGCAAAGTAGTCTATTATTTCTAATCACAGAAATGTACAGCATCCAGAAGAACACTATAAACATTGGGGAAATGTCAAGAACAGCTGGGAACCTGGCATTTGTTAGCGCCTTTGTATTAAAGGCTGCCTTTGGATAGGTACCTTAACTCCATTTGTCTGCATTTTCATGAGAGAGTGCTAATCCTAACCAGTTCAAAACTGGCTTTTATTGTTGAGATTTTTCTTAGGATTGAAATTGGTATGCATTTGCTTTTCCTGTAAAGAAGTTGGACAGTTCTACCATGGGCTTCTAGGTGCAATTTGACATACCTCCTTTGACTTCTGTTTATCTATATTTATGAATTCCAAACAACTCTGCAATTCAATGTTGCTTTCTTGCTTCCAACTCAGGTGATTTTTTTTTTTTTCTGATAAACACTGTAAATTATTATTTTTTATGTTACCTTCCAACAACTAAGTTTGTTTAATTAAAATTTTATAATGTGGGACACAGGTGATGCAGTTTAAACAAGTACAATGGGCTTGGGGTATTTATTGTTTGTTTGTTTGTTTTTTAAGGCTTGGTTAGGAATTAACCTGGCAATAAACAATCTGAAAAACATTTAAAAAAAAAAATCATCAGCTTTAAAATAACGGTGTCTCTGCTTATATAAAGCCAGCAGTCAGACCGCTTGATAGGCCGGGGGGAGAAGGGGAGACACGGATGCTGGCACATTATTATTATTCTGCTGCTGCACACAGGTCTGAATCAGCTCTGAAAGTGCATACATTGTTTCTTACAGAATGTCTCTGGCTCCTAACAACAGAATTGCAACGTGATGTCTCTGCTAAAAATGCGATGACTCACAAATGAGTCAACAGTGAAGGTGTTACAGGAGGCTAACTGCTGTGCTGTCTGCCAGGGCTTCATAACATGCAGGAGCAAGGCTGGCCATTAATTTACTCGACTTTCTTTTCATATAGAATTTTTAAAATCATCTAACCTATGGAGTTCTGCTCACATTACCGCTCTCTGAAAACGCTCGTTTTGTAAAAGCTTCTTAAACTGGGTTAACGTATTGAGATACCACATTGTACTGGATTTAACAGGCATTTTCAGAACTCTGGCTGCTATTAAATTTAATTTCTGCTGAAATCTGTAGTGCAGCTTAATGTATTCATTCCGGAGCAGGGTATTATCCTTGTCTGTCTCTGTGCCACAAGAGGTGTCTTTACCAATTGGAATTGTAGATTGGGTTTCTAAAAGAAAAGGTATTTCAGGTCTGTTGTGTTTTTGAATTGCTTTTTGCAGTTGAAAGGAACGCCCCTCCATAAGCAAAACTCCAAAATTCTCCCGAATTTTAGGTATGATACCCAGTTGAGGTGAATAATGGGGATTTGGGTTAGGTCACAATTACTAGCAGATTATATTAAGAGCTGTGAAGAAGGGTTGTCTGCTGGGCTACAAGTCTCAAGAAAGACAAATCTGATTGTACTTGATTATTTTGTCTCTGATTACAATTGGGATCTGTCTCCAGTTACATTAAATTTGCCCCTCAAATTGCAAACACCATATTATGTCTGGTGGTTTTTTTTTTTTTTTTTTTTTTTGTTAAGCTTCTTTTTAAATTGGTGTGATGCACTGCAAATCAGTGGTGGTAGCTCAGGAGTTACGGACTTTGCTGTGAGCCCGGATGAGCATTTCCGCTCCTCACCAAAATGGCTGTTTGTTTTCACTAGCTAGGACACCTTTTTTTGAACTCTCAGCCTTCGCTTTCCTAGACGAGTCCCTCCTGGAAGAGTGCCGGGGCTGCTGGCTGTGCGGTAGGAGTATTTTCGGTTCCCCTTCCTGGCAAAGTCCCGTTGCGCATGTGAGCGGTGTGCTTTGCTTTACTGCTGCGGAGTGAGGCTGGCGACGGGCGGGCTAACAGCCCTCTAGTCGGGTGGACCCTTAGGTTTTGCTAGGCAGAGCGGGCTGACTCTGCTCTTCGTACCACCAGGTATTTGGACTGGGTCATTCTTTTGGAAAGTGTAGGTCCAACTCCTGCCAGGCAGAAGAGGAGCTGAATGTGTGCTTCCTTCATCCTTGTGAGAGATTTAACCAATGCACAGCACAGTGAGGTGATTCCACCTTCTTCCCCTTGGATTATGTATCTGATTTGACTTGTGACAGCCTATCGCTAGTTTGACACAATCAAAACTAATGTTTTTTCCTCAGTGAATTTACTATTTGCTAATATTGTTTTAGCCACGTTTCTTGCACTTCTCTATACTCCTAACATGTAATTCACCTGCTTTTTTTTTTTTTTTTTTTAAAAAGAAGTCTTGGGAGTGCTTTCCTTGGCTGTCACTGAGCACATCACCAACATCTCTGAAACTGTTCATTGGCTTCCTCTTCATACTCCTTTAAGTTCAATTTTCTTCTGTCTGCATTTGAGACCTTTTACCGTTCTTCTCCTCCCTTCTCTTCATTGAATCCCGTTTTGCTGGCTGCATCTGCTCGTATGCCAGTTTCTTACCTGAGCAAATGTCATCTTGTTTTCATCTGCTTAGGAATGCAGTGCTTCTCCTGAGCTGATCATATTGTCTGATTAATTTGAAATAGTCTAATATTTCCACTTCTTTCCATGTCCTCTTATAGACTCATCTGCTGATTCAATAATGGCTAGGTTAGGTGCAGATTCTGATGACTGCTTACTAAATTTAATTAATCATAAGAAACTTTCTGTATGCAAGTGTGTGCGCATTCTCTCTCTCACACAGAGGAAGGTGCACATGCACTCAGACATAAATTCAGACGTAAATCCATGTATGCTCATATGTGATGACAATTGCTTTGTCTCTCGTACTCCTTATATGCAAGTTGTTTTCAGAGCTGTCAAGTTCAGGGTCACTTCTTGTTACAAGTCTTTTTTCATTGACTAATGCTTAACACCCATAATCCAGGTTGGGTTGTGAGGTGTGTCTGAGATCCTAAACTAACATTATAAGGAGAGTTCTGAGGTTTGTGCTGGAGTCCAGTCTGAAACCGCTGTACAGCTGTTGTGTAGGTCTGATTTTGCTCGGCTAAGCTTTGCATTGCAGTTAGCAGTGTTACAGACACTGTCTTGCCCTCCATTGAAGTGGACTTTCTTTTTGGAAAACCATCTCTTGCTCATATGCCAGGTCTGATTTGACAGGTGCCAAGCTTGGTTGGTGGGATTTAGGCCTGATGCACCAACTCTGTTGCTCGGTAGCATCTATACAATTGTTAAGGAGGCTAGTGAGTAAGTGGAGTCAGCCCCAAACCGCAGGATGAACTTCTCCACAGAGCTAATGGTTAGCATGAACTACTTAAGCACAGGAGACCTGCCTTTGACTTTGCCTCCTGTCATAAAAACCTGCACATGTGCATACATACTCATGCTGAATGACCTACTGGAGATGATCAGACATTATGTCATGAGCGAGTGAAAAAAACCCTTCATAACACAGAGTAGAATATATGGTTTCATATTTTGGTCTGTGTTTTTCCCAGAGCCCCAGGGAAGAAAATGCATAAAATTATGAAGTGTCCTGTCTTTTTGTATACCGGCCTTTTCAGTTTGGACGTTATAGTAGAGTGGGTAGTTTCTGGGAAACCCTACCTAGATTTGAATGTAATTTATGGGAAATATCAAAAAGCCTAGGTGCTGTTCTAAACTATCCTGTGCCATTCACCCCTTTACAGACCTCCTGAATTTTAAACTGGTTTTCCAGTTTTCCATCTTTGTTTGGAAATTTAGGAAGTAGATTTTCATTTGATGTTAGACTCTGACAAACACCTCTTAAGCGGGTTCTTTTATAGTTTGCCTGCCTTTCCAGTTTGGGTCTCATCCTGAGTTTGTAAAACAAAATGTGTATGGAAATCACAAAAATTTTGGCTGTTTTCTCAGTCTTTACAGGTTAAGTTTTTATGTGCAATTTTGTTTATTATTTTTGGGCATAGAGTATGGAAGGATGTGGGGACTGCCAGATAAGAGTTTGTTCTTGCGCAAGATGCAGGAGAGGGTTCCTTTTTGTCTCAGCAAGCCTTCCTCTCAAAAACTAGTGACAATACTCTAATCACTAGATGAACCTAAGAAAAATTTCTGAGAGGATTTCTTCCTGTATTTTTCCTACTCTCTATCTTTCATAGAAGTAATGGGATGGAAAGCTGGCCTTTTTTAGGCTTGATAATGAAAAAATGGATGTTTTGGAAGGATTCAAAAAGTTCCTTGAAATGAGATTATAACTAGCTATTTCTTACATATTTTCACTCATCCTTGATTTTGTTGCTTAATCAATTGGCAATATGAATAATCAGAGCTTTGCCCTTGATTATTCCTAACAGTTTGGCTTTAGTCAAGGTACTAATGCAAACCAAGTACAGTCTAGCCTCTTTACATTGCTTTGTACATCTCTTTCCTAGTGGTGCACTATAAATCATTATAATAGTATTTCAGGTTTCCAGCATTTGATTTTTCTCTTTTGGCTTGCTTCATTCCTTTTTTCCTTTTCCCTCCATGATATATTTTGTGTACGTGAAGGGCCCTGGGCTGCCAGTCTCTTAATTGGTTATTAGTCTTTTGTAATATGTGTAGCTCAACACCCCAGAGGAGCAGCTTTTACTTATGTCAGTAATTCTGTTGGTTGCTGCGTGTTTACAGGCACAGACTCCGAATTACTCCTTCAAGCAAAGATATGTGCTTAGGGAAAGTAGGATTTGGCACCTGTGAAGACAAAGGTGTGTAGGTAGCTAAAGATGAAGATGGCTGCTTAGTGGCGCTGGGTCACAAAATTCCCCTGGACCTTCAGTGGATGGTGGGAGGAAGATGGCCACCTTAGATTTGCACGCCTTTTTTGAGGCACAAACACAACGTAAATATGTCACTTGAAAGCTAGGCTTCTTGAAGGGAGTGAACTTACCCAGTTTCAGTGGGCACGCTCAGACCTATGTTGGATCCAGCCTTCAATGCATTATCAGCCTGTGCTAAGATTTCTAATACAACCTAGCTGGTGCTTTGTGAGTCCATCCGTGTGTCTTCCCCCCCCACCCCCCCGCAGTGGCAAGTTGATCTTAGTGGAGCAGATATTCTGGCTCTTGCTGTTTGGAAAGTGTGCTACTGTGATTCTGGCCATATGAGAGGAAAAAAATGAGCAAACTTAAATAAAACAACAGTGGAATCAGGCAAATTGCTTACTCTTTTTATCCCTTCCCCCCTTTAAAAAAATCCAGTTTTCATTAGTTCTCTTTCTTTTAACCCTGTCCCTTTCCAAACCAGCACTGTGTAGTTACATCTGTTGGGAGTGAAGGGTCTGCAACTACCACAGGTTTTTTGAAGTTGTAGGTGTCAAGTAATAATGTATACAGTACTGCAGCCTCTCTGTAGCTTGTGACCTGCTGTTGTTATAATGACTGTCTGAGACCCCATGTACCTGGGGCAAAGTGCATCCTTTGTGTTACACACTCCAAAGCCAGTCATGGTACATTCTTACTAGAATGTTAAAAAACCAGAAAAGTTACAATTCAGATGTCTGTCTTGTCCGCAAGGTAATTGGAGAATTTATAATGGGTCCTGATGCAAGCAAATAACCCTTGTGCCTAATCAGCAGAGAGACGGCGACCTTCCTGCTTCAAAGAAGAAACGCCAAGCAGGGGAGAAGATTATGTATACTTTGGTCTCTGTGCCACATGGAAATGACATCGCATCTCTCTTTGAACTGGATGCCACCACTCTTCAGAGAGCTGATTGCCTGGTTC